ATTATAGAAATAAAATTCTTAAATAAGCTTGAAAATTTTAGAATTAATAAATTTATAAAGTTTAAGTATAGAAAATTTAAAATAATTAATAAGAGTTGGATTTTCTATGTTTTAAACAGATTTTTATTAAAAAACGAAAAACTTTAAAATTTTTTTTATGAACTTATTTAAGTGAAGATTTTATAAAATACATATATTGATTATTCTTAATTAAAGAATGTTTTAAATTAATTAGTTGATGTATCAACGAAAATTCAAGGAATAAGAAATGAACCTAAAAACAAATAGAAATTATTACTTTTAGCATTTCATGTTTATGATGTGAATGATTATTAAAATATGCTATATTTTTTAAATAAATTAAATTTAATTAAAAGTGATGAGTTTTCAGAAAGTAATAATCTTATAAAAAAGTTTATAGAATATATATTTGAAGAAAGTTCACAAAATAAATAACTATTAGAAAAAAAAGGCATTTTTTATGAACTTATGTATTTTTTGGCCTAAAACTAGGATAAAATATACATAAATGAATAAAAATTGCTGAATTTCAACAATAATTTTTTAAAGATTTTTTAAGAAGATTTAATTAAAAATGATTAAAATTATAAAATTAATGTTTAAATTTTACTAAAATATATAATTTTTATTACTAAGTTTAATCTTGTGGATAAAATGGAAATTGATAATTTTTAAAACATTATTAAATTCTTAAAATAAGATGAAGAAGAAATATTTTATATATATAAAATTTTACAAACTCATAATGCTAACAATATTTAAATAAGTTAAAAAGTTCAAGAAATTATTTTTTTCTTTTGAAAAATAAAATTTTTAATTATAAAAAATGGGATTAGTTTTTAAATTAATTGAGAATTTATATGGTAAAAATTACACCTTTCTTTAAAAAAGAGGGAAAATAAATTCAAATAATAGATGTTAATGATTACATGAATAAAAAATAGAATAATAATAATATTTTTTATGTGCCTTTTTTTATAAATGAAATTATCAAAATTAATGATTTGAATATGAAAATTTATTTAATCTAATTTTTGGAAGATAAGAGAATATTTGAAGAGTTCGTGAATAAAAATATACAAAATTAAATCGAGAAGTTAAATGTGTCTGATTTGGTGGAAATACTAAGGACTTCGTAAAAGATAAGAGTCAAAGTGTATCAAAATAAAAGTTTAGTTTTAAAAATAAACTCGCTTTTTTAAAAAGAGATTAATCAAAATGTAAATAATTCACCTGCATAGATTTTATTTTTAGTTAGATTTCTATTATAGGCAGGAGTTTAAATTAAAAAGGAATTATTATAAGATTTTATTGAAAAGAATGTGCATAAATTTGATTTATTATAAGTAGTATAGGCTAAATAATTAAATTAATAATATGACTTTAATAGGAATGTAAATTTACTTTTAGTTGGATAATTATAGAATGTTCTAAAAAAAGAAAAGGCGACTTTTTAAAATTGCATTTACATTCTAAAAGCTTTCAATTTGAATATTTTTGATGAAAAAACTTTATTTTATTTAGAAGATATGGTTGCTTAGAATATTTAATATATATAAGAAAATGATTTTATAGTTTTATGCAAAAAATATTTCTATTTTTAAAGTATATAACAGTCTTTATTTAATCCTTTGAGGTTAATAAGTGGATTTTATAAATATTTAAAAGATCAAAAAGTTATTAATATTTATGGTTATTGGATTATTAAATTAATTAATAAATATAATGCAGGCTTATTGGAGGAATTTAATTTATGTGATATTTAAGAAATTTTGCTTCAAGATTAAAATTTAATTTTTGAGTTGATTATTATTTTTGTGAAAATATAAAATAATAATTTTTAAAATAAGATTTTTTTCAAAGAATAAATTTAAAAGTTAAATTTAGAAAATTTAAATGAGAATCATTAATAGTTTTTTAATATTTATTTTAATAAATTATAAGATGTATCAATTAATATAATTTAAAATTTTTATGAGTTTTTGAGTTTTTGCTAATATTTTTAATTAAATGTGTCTATTTGGAAAAAAGAATTTCAAGAAAAAATATTCGAAATTAACGATTTTAGTGTAGAATGTGTATTTATTTTAAGTAAATTTTATTAGTTTGAGTTTAATTTGAGTTAAAATCAAAGAATTATTTTAGTTAATTAAAGCATTAATAATTTTGAAAGAATAGTTTAGTTAATTATATTTTCTTAAAATATTTAAGATTAAGAACTTTATTAATTAGTTATTAATAAGCTTTTATTTTATAAAATTAATAAGAAAGAAAAAAATTAAACATTAATTAATTTAATTAATTGTTTGTAAAATAAAGATATTAAGGTTTTGAATAAAATTGAAGATATTTTTAAAAGTAATATACATTTTATGGATTTTCAAGATAAAATTTATATATTTAAATTAATATTTAACAAATAATTTGCTTCTATTTAATTCTTTTAGTTTTTTGAAGATTATAAATTTATTTGAGTCTTATCTTTTTAAATGCTTTTATTTAATATTTCTTGTATATTTATTTATGATTAAATATAAATAATATTTTAGAATATTTTCGTATCAATTATTATATTTTTTATTTTTTAAAATATTGACTTTCAATAAAAAAATACAAAACAAATATATTTATTTTTAATAAAAAAGATAAACATAAGCTGAAATGAATATCTTTTTTTTTTAATTAAATAAATATTTCTAAAATAAATTTTTATTGGAATAAAATTATTTTATTTTATAAAGATAATTTTTTTAATAAAAAATACTTTTGTTATAAAATCTTTAAGAAAATAAAGTTAAATACATAAAAATTAGATATATCATATATTTGCATTTTTAATGCATTATAAATTAAAATCATATTTTTGTTTTAGTTTATTAAATAAAGAACTTGTAATATTAAAAATAATTGCTCGCGGCTTTTTTTTTAAAAAAAAATAAATAAATATAATAATTAGGGAATTTATAAAATAATAATAGAAAGATATAAACAAATTAATTTAAAAAAATTAATTTTAATAAAAAAAATATTATAAAGTAAAAATAAAATATATAAAGGTAGCAAATTTCATTTAATTATATAAATTTATTTTTAATTAATAATAAGATATAAATTGTCTTATTATAATATCTATATTTTTAATTATTCCTTGTTTTATTTAAAATTTTTAAATTTATCTTCGCTTATTTAAAAATGATATTTTAAAGCTTATAAAACTGATTTAAAAATACATAAGTATATATCTTGTGAAAATAATTCGAATTTCTGTTATTACTTGTATGTAAAGTGTATAAGTTTTTAAATAAATTAAAAATGGAAAATAATAATAAAAAAATTAAATATAATATATTTAAGTTACTGACGGACTAATTATTATAGATAATTCTAATTAGATATATTTTTAATATATAAAAAATAGTAAATATATATTAAAAATTATTATCGGAAACTTAAAATAATAATTATGTTCAAGGAAAATAAAAATATAAAAATAAATGATATATTATAAGAAAAGACTAAATTTAATAATTTTGATATTTTTTTTAACATAGTAGAAATAAAATTTGCTTTATTAATTATAATTTTTTTAATTAAAAAATTAAAAAAATAAATTTATATATATAATATATAAATAAAATAAAAATAAATATAATATAAAATAATATATAAGTAAAAAAATATATATTATTATAAGAGAATTTAATATATAAATAAAAAAAAATATAATGAAAAATATAAAAAAAATTAATAGTAAAATAATAAAATAATAATAATAATAATAATAATGATAATAATAATAATAATTATAATAATTATATTAAAAATAATAATAATATTTATATTAATATTATTTTTTTTATTTTTTTTCAATACAATTTATAAATAATCATTATAAATAGTTTTATTATTATTATCTTCTTATTTATATTATATTAATTTCTTTTATATATAATAAATAAATTATATATATTTTTATAAATTTGTATTTTAATATTCATTTTAAAAAATTTTAATTTTTTTTTTTTTTAAATTTTTTTTTTTTGAATTTTAACTTATTTATTTTTATCTATTTACTTTATAAAGAATATATAATATTAAACCTAAAACATATTTAAAATTATAAAGTTTATTATATTTTTTTCATGATCTTAACAATGATTTTATAATATTAGTTATAATTTATCTTGCAAAAGGAATATAACTAGCGCTATACCAAAAATAAGATAAGAACTAAATTATTACAAATAATAATACTAAAATTTTCTTTTTAAAAACTAATGCGCTAACTATAGTCATTATTAAAGAAAATAAAAATATTAAAGATGTTATTGCTCTTGTTTTATCACTCATATTTTTTAATTATTTTTTAAATCCAACTAAAAATGATGTACTTTGAATTTTTATTTTTTTTAGAAAAATTAAATATTTTTTTACCCAAATAGTGCTATTACATTGCCAAAACTATAAAGAATGGCTGTTTTGGAAATAGATCTTCCTAAAGAAAGTAATGAAATTATTTCTAAAAATAAACCTTTAATATGGTTGGTTAAATATTTTTTTAATTTTATTTAAATATTTAATTAATATACCAAGTGCAAAACAAAACGAATATCCTAAAATTCTTTCCTTAAAAGTTAATTTGGGAAACCATGTATCATTCTCGTTATTATTTTAAGAAATAATATTTATACTAGATGAACTTATATTAGTTTTGCTTGATTATAAATTCTTAAAATTGAAAAATGTTGCCATTTATATACTTATTTTAGTTTTATTTTTTATTTCTATATTGATAATTTAAGTAATAATTTTTATATTTATTATTAGAACAATGTATAAATTATTTATACTTTTATATTTATGTATATATTTTTAAAGTAATAATATTTATAAGCTATAATTATTAACAAATTTTTAATTGAAAAATTATAAAATAACTAAATTAATATATTTTAATATTTCAAATATACTTATTGACATCATTATTATATTTTTTAAAAAAAATCTTATTTATTAAAACTCAATCTACAAAAAAAAATGGATATTGACTTTTTTTTTATTAAAAAATAATTTTTTGAATGTATACTTAAAATAAAATAGTAAATTTAATATTTTTTGTATTAAAATGCAAAATTTATGGTTTTTTTTTTTTTTTTTTCATAAAATATAAAATAATAACACTTTATTTTCAAAAATTATTTTAATTTTTTTTTTTTTTTTTCACAAAGTTTTTACTTTCTTTTTAATTTATTCGTTAGGTATATTCCATAAATCCATTTACCTTAATATTTTAAATATATAATAAAATATAATAAGATAAATATTATTTACTAATTAATTTTTTTAAAAGTTTCATAATCAATTAAATTTACATGTATTTAACACTATTCTTTATCAGAATCTTTAAAAGCTTACATGCAATTATTTTAAATAATATTCACTATAATCCCTAATTATTAATTTGGTAATTATTTTATTTTTTGAGAAATTTAAAGCTTTTCTTATTATGTAATTATTTATGATTCTTCTATTTAAGTCATTTATTCTTATAATACATTTTATTAATTAATAACTTTTTTTTCGTTATTCTATTATATAATTTCTTATTTTTTCATTTATCCAAGCTTTTCTTTTTCTTTTTGTTTATTAATTAATTATTTTTGAAAAAAAGATATTTAAAGAAATAAAAAATATACTCATTATTTATGCTTAAAATTAAATTGAAGGAAGATAATTTTTAATCATATTTCTGAAATATTTTTCTAATTTTTCCGCTAATTTAAAAATCCACTTTTTTTTAAAAAAATAAAAATAAATAAATAATATATTTTTATTTTTTTACAGATCCTTATGCATTATAGTTTTTGCAATTATCCCATATTAATTATATGTCATCTAAACATTCTTCAACATATACATATTCATTTTCTTTTAATTTATCTCTTACTTTTCCTAAATCCATTGGATTTTTAATTATTGTTGGATAATCAATAAGTTATAATCCTTTTTGTATATTTTTCAATTTTTTATAATTTATTTTTTAATTATTACCTTACCAATCAACTGGTTGTCTGAATTCAGACGAATCACTATTAGAAAATAATTAATTTGTCATTTAATTAAGCTTTTTAGATTCTTCTTTTCCTATAGTGGTATTTCTATTTATTTTTATTTTATAATAATTATATTCCTTTTTTTTATTTACGAATTTAATTTTAAAGATGAAACGTATGTTGACATTTACTATATTGTTTCTATACTTTTTAGTTTTAATACGATAATCTGTTTTTTTTTTTTTAGAATTTTATAAAAAAAAATATGCAAATTTTTTATTTTTTTACATGTAAAATATATATGTCTGTATATATTTTTAAAAAATTATATTATATATTTTTTAGATAGAAAAATTAATATTTGTTAATGTTTCTAAATAAATTAATTTAATTTATTATTTTTGTATTTATTTAATTTACTTATTGAAATAAATAATTATTATTATAATTTTTAACAAATATATAAATCTTTTTTAAAAAAATAACTTTTAATGTTATAATTTAAATATTAATAATAATAAAACTACTATATTTAAATTAATCATATATATAAATCCAATTTTTATTAAATAATAAATAAAATTAAATATTATATATATTTAAATAAATAAAAATAAAAAAATTTAAATTAAAAAAAAAATTAATATAAATAAAATAAAAAAAAATGGGGAAATACTCACTAAAACATCGAAACATCAAATTTCATTGACGAAAGTTTAAATGATTTCGATAAATAGACATATTTCGTGGAAGAAATAAACGACTAAATATATGGAAAAATCCGTATTCACAAACGCAAACATATAACAACCGAAAAAAGCAGTAATTACATAATGGAAAAATAAACATAATCTTTTGAAAAAGTTGAATATGCTTAACTTTATTATGAATCTTAGATTAGATTAAATCTTTAAAATAAATATTTTTTGTAATTTCTTGGATATTAATTTATTGGTTCTGATGATATTTTTTCTTCATAATTTAAGGCTAATCTTTATTTTGAATTTCATTATCATAATTTACAATTGGAAATAAAAAATAGGACAAAAAATTTAGTAAACAAAAAAAAATACTAATTATATATATTATAAAAAGGACTATTTTCCAGAAAATGATGTTTGGTATTTATTAACTTCTTTAATTAATGCATGTAGTTATTTATAATAAAATTAAATTTTCCATGGAGACTTAAGACCTAGAAGTATACTTTTGACTTAAAAAGGAGTTCCTAAAATAGGTGATAATGGATTAATAAATTCAAATAAAACTGGCTATTTAAAAACATTGAATAGAATAGAAAATACATACCTAAGTCCTTAATAAATGGTATTTTTAAAGCATGCAATAAGCAATCCATAATGCAACTCTTATAAATAGGACGTATTTTCCTTAGGATTGACGATTTTATAGTGCGCTTTATTAAAAGACTTGTAAGATATTTATGATTGGGATAATTTAAAAATTAGCGAATTTTAACTATAATTACATTTAAATAGACTAGAAGAAGGATATTCGGAAAATCTGTGTGCCATTATAAGATAAATGCTGGCATTTGAAGATGAATATAGACCAGATTTTATTTAATTAGCTAATAATTAATAAATAATATTTGGAAATTAAAGTAGGATTAATTTATAATAATAAAATATTAGTAGAGTAAAATAAAGCTAATAGCTACCAGTTGTGAATTAATGTAGTGTTGAAAGTGGTGCCTGGTAATAAAATTAAAGTAGAGTGTTATAAAATATTTAAAATAATGATTTATAATAAAATAGTATTATTTATAAATCAAGATTAGTTATGGAAAATAATATGTAATAATAATAAAAATAATAATAAAAATAATAATAATAATAATAATAATAATAATAATAATAATAATAAAATTAAACTAAAGTTTTTATTAAATTTAAAATAATTTATAATAAACAATTCGTTAAAATAATTAAAATATTAATAATAATCTTAAATAGACTTTAGTAAGAAAGTAATCACTTCCTATAATGCCTGTATAAGTAATTTAATAATAATAGTAAGAGCCATAAATTTAATAATAATAACTTTCTTAAATTTAATAATATTAATAATAACCTTATATTCAATAATAGGAGTAATGTCTTTAAATTTAATAATAATAATAATAATAATAATAATAATAATAATAAGAGTCTTAAATTTTGTAATAGTCATAATAGCCTATTATTTAGTAATAGATATAATAATCTTATATTTAATAATAATAATTACCTTATATTTAGTAATAATAATAGCCTTATCTTTAATAATCAAAATAAATTTATTAATAATAATTACCAAATGAATTATTATAACATTAAACAGTATAAAGATAAAGTTAACCATATTTATAATTATAACAATAACAATAAAGTTATATATAACAACAATAATAATTTTAATAATTGTAATAATAATAATAGCTGTAATAATAGTAATAACTGTAATAATAGTAATAATTGTAATAATAATAATAATAGTAATAATAGTAATAATTGTAATAATATCAATAATTGCAATAATAGTAATAATAATTATAATAGCAACCTTAATAATAATAAATTGAAAAGTATTAATATTTTCCTTTAAACTAAAATTATGTTGATTAATTTTAACCTATTGTTATAAGTTAACCTTAACAAGTTTTTTAAAAACCATATCAATAATAAGAATAATAATCGTATATATAATAATAAGATATTTAATAATAAGAAAATAAATAAATTTATTAAAATGGAGTCCTTTTTTATCCTTAATAAACTGAAATTTCAAATAGTCATCCTATTTAAATTAAAAGTATCCAAAATTAAATTTTAAGGCCTGTTTTGCAACCTTTGCCTGTTGTTAATTAAATACAAAGGCCTTCATTTTATTAATAACCAGTTTTTTAAATTTAAAAACAATCTATTGTGCCTTCTAGGCATATAGTTTAAACATTTTCACCTATAAAAAAAGTGCATTATTTAAATTAATAAAATATAGTAACTGAGAGATAATAAGCACCAGAAACTTAAATATAAAATTTAAACTATGTTAATAATAGTCAATATGAAGATCCGTATACTGAAGATTAAGTTGATTAATAATAATAACCACTATATGAATAATATTATAAGTAATAATAATATCCTTAATTTAAGTATAATTAAGTATAAAGAAATGCGTAAATATAATCAGGAATGAAATAAAATATTCCTTTTTATAATAATAATAATAATGAAGTTAATGATAATAATGAAGATTTAGATAAAAAAATTAACGAGGCAATTTTAATGACAAAATAAACGTTATAAAAAAATGAATAGGTTTCTTAAATTTAAAAAGAATGATTTTTTTTAAGAAATTATAAATTTTATTTTATTATTTTAGATTAATTATATAATACAAAATAAAATAATATTATATATATATATATATAATTATTAAAAATAAATTATTATTTTTTATAAATCAATTAAAAATTTAATTATTTTGAAATATATATTTTAACATTTGTTTATATAAAAGAATTAAATTTAATTTATAATATTAATTTTTTTTTTTTAAAAAAAAAAATAGATTTAAAAGAAACATAAAATTTATACAAATAATACATAATATTCATTTAAAAAAACAAAACAAAACAAAATTAATTTTGTTTATAAAATCTAAAAAAAAAATCAAACATTATTTAAATAAGAAGAATTTGAAGTCAAAAACTATGCATAAACGGGTCTATGATCAGAACCGAAAATACCCATATTGCAATCATAAGAAACTTAAAAAATACTATTTAAATTCCTACTTTTATATAAAATTCTATCAGTCCAAGCCGGATTCCGTTTTTTTTTCCTTAATAAAATTAATTTTGATAAGGTTTCATTTTATAACTAGGTGGGAATTAAATAAATCCTTCGGAAAAACCCACTCCAATAATATCCATTTCTTACAAAAGTTAATCCTTTTATAATAATTCGAAATAGTCTTTCGTATTATTAAATTCTTCTTCTTTTACTTCCATATTCAGTCTATAATTAAGGTCCCCAAAATAAAAACAGAAATCGAATTTATTCGAACCTTTATTATCTCCATCATCCGTCCTGTTCATTTCCGCCATTTTATTTTCTATTTGTAAAAAATCCCTATTTCTTCTTTCCACATTACTCTATCCACTACATAAATGGCAATTCACAAATAAATAACTTTGTCTATCTACATAAAAACTTACTCCTATCCCTCCTTTATTTCCAATTATGTTTCCAAATCCAGTCCCTTTTTTGAGTACTTTTATACTATGTATTAAATAAAAAATGTTTTTATGACAAAAAATAATTATATTTATTGCATTCATTGTAGAAGATTCTACTTTTATGTATTTATTTCCTAGTTTTTATTATATGGAGGTTTCCCATTTTACTTTTGAAGAGTTAAAAAAAGAGGCTGCTATTGATCTTTCGCATTCTTATGTACCTATACATATTAGATGATGTTATGTATCTATTTTTAATAATTAATCTAATTGATTTACAGGGCAACTACCAAACAAATTCCCTTTTTTTTTGATTTTTTTTTTTATATTTTTTTTTTATTTTGTCATTTACATGTTACTATTAATATTTTTAAATATTATTCTTATTAAGGTTATAATAATTATAAACCATTCTAAAAAAATTATTTTTTTCGTGTATATGAGTAAATTTGACTTAAAATTTCACTTTCATCTCCTATTTGGTTTTATTTGTATTATTTAAACATTTATTTAACTAATTCTAATGTCATTTTCGGATGATATTTTGTTTCTTTTTTTAATGATTTTAGAGATAATGTATCATAGTTTTGGTTGTTTGATAATATTTCTATATCTATTTAATTATTTAATATTATATTATTATAAAAGTCATTTTGGTTATGTTCAGCTTAATATTACATTTTTTTAAATATAGATTATAATTTTTATTAGATTATTATTACTTTTATATTTTTAAAAAAATAATTCTATGAACTATGTAGTTTTTTTTTTTTTTGGTTAAACAAAAAAAAATATATAAAATTTAATTAAAAATATATATTAATTCAAATCTAAAAAAAATTATTTATAAATGTCTACATAAAAATTTAAATAATATATGTTTTTTTCATTCAAATTTATAGTAAATTTTATTCTAATTTTTAAATTTCTTTACTTATTTCTTTATATTATTAATATTCTTATTCTACAGGAATTATGTCTTTATGGTACCTTATTTTCCTATTATGCATTTTTTAAAATTCATCTTAATAAATTTATAGTTTTTCCTTTAAAATTTATCTTTTTAATTTCAACTGAGCTATTTTTTCATCAACTTACTTTTTATTATTAATATTTTATGTTTTATTAATATTACTATTTTCTTAATATTCTTATTTATGTTTGTTATCTATTAATTTATGACAACCAACATTTAAAGAATTTTAATTATTTTAAAACTTTTGAAAAGCTTATTTTATTCCTTTATAATAAACATAAAGAGGTCTCATAGGCTCTTTTTGATTTCTAGAAGGTTAAATATAGAATAAATTTTCGAATTCTTAATCATATAATTTTAGTTCATATTTGACTTTTTTTTTTCGATTTAAAGTTATTCATAATTCATTTAAGAAATAAATTTAGTGCTAATTTTTTATTTTTCTAAACCTAATTTTTATATTGATAATTAAAGTCTTTTCGGAGCTTCTATCTTAACCCATTCATCAGAAGTTAAATTACATTATATATATTATTATTATTATTATTATTATTATTATTATTATTATATTATTTTATTTTATTATATATTTTATTATTTTTACTATAATTATAAACATTATTATTATTTTTATTCAGGTTAATAATTTAATAATTATAGTTATTTTTTATATTGTAAATTCTGATTTTCTTTTAATAAATTCTACTTTATATTTTTCTTATCATTTTATACAAATGAATTATTATTACTTATTTACATATTTAGTGTTAATGAATTATTATTTATACTATTTTGTAGTAAAGAATCTTTTTTTTTTATTAATAAATTTTTAATTTTGATTATTAAAAAAAAAAATACTTTCTAAACTATTATTTAATGAATTATTGGGATAGTTTTAAGTTTTTAATTACGTTTTTATTTATTTCATATTTATTTTTTCTTAATTAATTTTTTATTTTTCGTTTTATTAATTTATCTATTGAACTTATTATTATTAATTTATATTAATTTTTTGCTAAAAACGTTGCTTAGGTTATGTTTATGTAATTGTTAAAGGCTTAAATAATTTACTTACAGTTTCGTTTAGAATTTAATTTAATATATCTAATTCCATTAAATATATTTTTTATAATTTTTTTTTTTTTCGTTTATAAAATTTTAAAATGATTTTTTTTTTTCTATTTTTTTTTTGTTAATGCTTTCAAAATAATTTCTTAATATTTGAACATAATTTTTTAAATATTTTAGTTTTTTTTTTTTTTTGAAAGATTATTTTATAGCAAATAAATATATTATTTACAAATAAAATATAATACAATTATTATTATTTTTTAAAAAAAAAAGTAATTTAGGTAAACAAATAATACTAAAATATCTATTAAAATAATATATAGATAGATATTTATATAATTATTAATAATACATTTATATAAATATTAATAATATTATTCGTTAAAAATAATATATTTATATATAAAATTTATATACAATTAAAACTAATAATGTTTTTAAAATTAAAAATATACTATTTATATATTTTATTAAAAAAAAATATTTTTATTTACAAATATACTAATTTTAAAATTCTATTTTTATAATTTTTGTTCAAATATCAATTTAATTTATTGATGAATATTAAAATCTATTTTAATATTTTATAAAAGGAATACTTTAAACTTTTGGCGGTAAAGACTCTTCTAAGTTTTCAGCATTTTCATAGCTTTTATTAATATTTTAAATAAAATGATATTATAAACTAATTAAAGGTATCTAATTTATTGCTGTTATTTTGTTATTATTTGTATTGTTATTACTTTATATTATTTATTATTATTTCTACCTAAAAGGACTATCAGTATATCTTTTTTTAAAAAGAGTTATTAAAAATTTATATTTATTTATTTTACATTTATATTTATTCATTTTCTTCAACATCAACGTACAAAGGTATTTCCTTTTAACAGAAGGAACACCTATATTTGAAATTTTTATTATTTTTTCCTTCTATTAAAAAATATAAACATTTATTTTTTTATAAATTTCTACATTTATATATGTCATGTAAACAAAAAATGCAAATATAATTAAAGCAATTATTACATTTTAAAATATCTATATAGTTAAAAAAATAAAAATATTCAAAACTTATATATATATATATATATATTATATAATTAATTATAATTGTTTTTTACAATTAAAGTGCCTAAAACATATTGGGCAATTATATTTATAATAATTTTAGAATTCGTCACAATGAGGACGATAATTTTCACACTTTTTATTATAAAAATAGACTAGAAAATATTTTTATTTATTAGTTACGTCAATACATTCAATATTTTATTTTGTTTAAATAGAAAATAATTAGTTTTTAATTTTATATATTTTAGGACAGTTTATATTATTTTACATTGTCTTTAATATATTGCTTTAAATATCAAAACTACTATCACTTATATCTTAATGTTAAATAAATTAGTTTTGTGAGTTATTATCAAAATTTTCTAGATTATTTTAGTTTTCTTAAAAAATATTTATGTTTTGATTTATTAATGGTTTGTTTTTATTGTTTTTTTTTTTTTGAAATACAACATAGTTTACTCATTTATAATCAAATCTTTTTATTAGTCCTATTTTTGTTAATATTATACTATTTTAATTGTAAAATAGAGTTCTTATTTACTTATTTTTCAATTTTTTTGTTTATATTTTTATTTTAAAAATATTTATTTTTGTTTCAAAAAAAAAAAAAAAATATTTACGAAAATATTCATTGTCAATATATTTTAAAATTAAATTAGTTTATTTTTCTTTGATTTGTCTATTATTAATATAAACTATATTATTTTATTTTATTTAAAAAAAAAAAGAATAAAAAGATAAAAATCATTATTATATTTTTTTGTATAAAAAATAAAAAAATATAATGTAAAATTATAATTATGATAATATAAACTTAAGAAATATTTTTAAAAAAAGTCGAGAAGAGATAATTTAAACATTATGCTTATTATTAATAATATTATAGTGGCTTTTTATATCCACAACTTTAAAAATAACTCAAGAAAATATTATATTTGATTTCATAATCGGTGTTTTTATTGAACTATCTATAAATCTAATATTCATATATGATTTTTATTTATCTTATTAAACTAAATAAGTTAAAAAAATTATTTATTTTTCGATTTTCAATCTAGTATAACCTCTTTAACACTCGACATAATAACATTAACAATATATAATAAAATGAATATATTATCAGCTGTATTAAGAGCATCTAAAATATTTACATTGAAAAGATGTTAAGAAATAATAATAAAAATAAACTTCATAATTCCAAAAATAATGGACTTTTTTTTTGTCTATTTTGCGTTTTTTATATATTTACATATGTTTCAACTTATATGTATTCAGATATTTAATTTGAAAATCCCTATTATTTCAAAAATTTAGGATTTGGTTTTTTTACAATGTTACAAATTATGACTTTGGATGGTTGGGGGTCTATTGGAAGGGAAATATTGTAAAAAAAAGGTATTTTTTAGGCGAGTTTTTTAATTTTATTTGTATTTATTCAAGCTTATTTTTTCTGGAATTTATTAATTGGTTATATTTTGGAGATATTAAGAGAAACCAATTACTAGGAATTAAAATAAGAAAATAAAGAACTAAAGAATGATTTATTAATATAAGAAAAAGAAAATATTTAAAATATATAAAATAAAAACTATTCAGTTACAAATTTAGTTTATACAGTTTAATTAGAAGAATATTTTAATCAAAATAATAAAAAAAAAGAAACTAATAAAGAATTAGTATAATATAATTCTGAAAAATATAAATCTTTAAAGGAAAATATTTGCTTTGGACCTTTATATCAAAAATTAGTTTTTTTTTTTTTTCTCCTTTAAATTTTTGATGCCTTACATTGTGAGAATTTATAAAATCTAACAAGTACTTTTTCCAAAAGCATAAACATTTTTATAAGTTTTATATATACTTTCCATTTATTTATTATATACTAAAATAACACTCATTTATTTAAACTCGAAAAAAAACATACTTACATGATGCTTTTTCATATAATAAGTGGTCCTATATGTTTATTTTTTGATCTTTTTGACTTCTTAATCTACAATAGTATAAGTATAGGAGGAATATTAAAATTATTCAAGGTTTTTACTATAATAAGGGCAATTATAATTGGAGCCTTTTTGGTTTTTCCAGTTGTAATTCCTGTTTTTTTAGGTATTATTGGTTGCGTGTTTGTTTTCGCGATTTGGGCTTTGATTTTTTTGTAGGAATTTAAGGGGATAAATATTTGGGAAGACTTTAATAGGAGTGTATATAGTTTTATATAGATTCTTACTTTGGATGATTGGTGTACGAAGATTTTGAAAGTTTTATTAAAGGAAAATAATTAGAAAGACATATTTTTTTAGTGGGGGGTGCCTTTAGTTTTTATTGGGTTTATTTTTGTTGGAAATTATTTCTTTTTGAATATTATGATAGCTATTTCTTGTGAAAATTTCAGGAAAATTCATTGTGAAGAATTTGTGTATAGGAAATAGATTTAAAAAGATGAAGATGATTTTTTTTCTTATAATGGAGATTGTTTTACAAATAAAATTGGCACTGTAGATGATTTAAAGAAAAATATATTAGAATTGAAAGGATTTAAAAAATAAAGGGATTATTTGATGAAAGTTTTGGCTAGTTTTAATTAAGAATAATGGATGTCAGATGATGAGGTTTAGGCTTTAGGATTACTTATGTAGATTAAAAATTCTAATTAAATTAGTTAGATTTAGTTTTAGTACAAAGGATAAAAGATTAATGTTAGTTAATATGATTTAAATGAGAATATTACTTTTAATATTTTTAAAAAATAAGTTAATAATACTTAATTATATTGATTTTATTTATATATATTTTTTAATTATTTAAATACTTTTTATAAAATTAATATCTTTCTTTATAAAGATATATTATTTATTAATTATCTTTCATATTAATTGTCTTAATTTTCTTAATTAGTTTAATTATTCTGTTATTAGAAATTTTAAAATTATTTCTTATTTTTAGTAAATATAAAAAATATACACTATTGCAATTTATTTTTTTATATATTAAATATAGTATCTTATAATTTTTATTAATATAAAATATTTATAGTACATTCAATATTAATCTAAAATTTAATAATTGATTTTTATTATCTTTAAATTTTTTTGAAATACTTTGAAGTGTTATGGTTTTTCTATTGGGATTAAAGAAAATTAGTTGTCTTGCAATTACTAATTTTCATATACTTGGCCTAATTATTATTTCGTATACTTATTGAAGTAGTTATCTTTTTATTAATCTTTGCTTATATATTTTAAATGTCTTTTTAATAATTTAATTTTAAAAGCTAATTGAAATTGAAATTTTTGATAATAAATTATTTAACTTTTTTTAAAAAAACTTATATTTTCATATTTTAAATTTATTAAAATTTAATTTAGTATATATTTTAAATTATTGTTAATAGAAAATTTATATAAAAAAAAATTATATTATCTTAAAATAAACTTGCTTTATATTATTTATAGTTTTTATTATTTTTGAAGATTGTCTTTTATTTAAATAATTAATAAACATAAAAAAATAAAGATTAATCTTTGTATTTATACTAAATTAAAAATAATCACATATATTTAATAAAATTAATTAAAATTTAAATTTTTATAAGTATTTTAATATAAAATATATTAATCATAAAAATATCATATATATCCAATTGTTTTTAATAATTGAAAAAATTAAAATTTGTGGATAATAAATATTTAAAAAGGATAATAATTAAAAAATAGAATAATGAACTAACCCAAATAGCAAACACAAGAAATCAAAAATAATTAGAACATCATTTAAAATAATTAATAAAATCAACAAAACAATTAATAATAGTAATAATAAAATAATAATGAAACTTAAGAAAATCCATTAAATATTGCTTAATTAATATAGAGAAAAGATAAAAAAGATCCTGGAAATCCTGAAATACCTGAAAATCCATAAAATAATGAAAATCCCGAAAATCCTGAAAGTCCTGAAAATCCTGAAAGTCCTGAGAATCCTGAAAATCAAGATAATAAAAAAGATCATAATACATAAATGAAAAGTTAAGCAGATGAAAACGAACAAAGCTAAGTAGAAAACCAATAATAAAAAATTTTTATAACTTAAAACATAATAGATAATTAAAATTATTCAACATAAATAAAAGAGAAATAATAAACTTAATTATGGTAGCCATATGATTTTGTATTTCCAGGAGGAAAGATAGCCAAACTAGTTATTTTATTTTTTTTAAAAAAAAAAAATATAAAAAAGGTAAAAGTAAATGATTGCAATGCAAAAGAATTTCCATTTACAGATGTACTAAATAAACTTAAATTAAATGAAGGATATCCAATAGTAAATTTAATAGCTGCTTAATAAAGTAAAAGAGGCAGCTTTTATGCAGGTATTGCAAGGGCATGTTTTAATAGTGATGCTATAATAGTAAATTCTTTAATTGAGACTGGAATTGAAAAATATGCTTTGAGAAGAAGTATATATTTATTTAAATATATATAAAAATATAAGTATACATATATATATATATATATGTATATATATATATGTTTATAATTATATATATATATTATATTTATATTTATATTTATATTTATATATATATATATATAATATAGATTTGACTGTTATTGGTGTTGCTCCTGAAAATTGTGTTAAATATCCAAAAATTAATTCTATATAGAAATCTAGTGATGAAATTTCTAATTGTCATACTCATATATTTTTATTAAGTAATTAATATTCTTACAATATTTATAGTTTACATATTAAAGATGATTTTGAAAAAAAATTATCTTGGACTTAAGAAAGTGCTTTTAAAATATAATTAATTATGAGGTATACACATATCATTATTTTTTATTAAAATATTTATATCTAAAGATTAGCTGAAAGAAACACTGGAAAAGCATAAAATAAAAGACAAAAAATTTTAAATATTTTTTTTGCAGATAATAGTAATTTTGAAGATGAAACTAGATTAGCAGTGAAATACAATTTGCCAATATTGGTTGTCTCAGGAAGTAATGTATGCGATGATATTATTGAAAATTATAAAAAAGTTGAAAAAAATTATAAATATATAAATCAAGGTAAAAAATAAAAATTATTTTAATACATATTTAAATAGAAATGCAAAAATTATTGCAAAAAGGATAATTTTACATTTTAAATAGTAATAATTCAGAAGATGTAGCATAATATATTCATTTTTTTATGTCTTTTACACCATATTGAAATTTAAATTTAAAGTAATAAAAAAATATATAATAACATAAAATATATATTTATATGTATTTATAATATTTGATAATGCTTTATTTTCATATTTATGTATTTATATTTATAATTTATTCATTTTTTTTTCCAATATATCATTAAAAATACAACAAATAATTATAATTTCATAAGTCTGAATGTTTTCAATATTATCTACACCCAATATTATTTTTTTATAAAATAACATAATTTGATAAACTTTTTAATTTATAAGCTACTTTGATATTATTTTGCAACTAAATCTACATAACATTTTCTTTTATCAGTCATTTAAAAAAAAATATTTAATCATTATATTTATATTATAAAAGTATTTAATTCTTTATTTTATAATTTCTATTTAATAAATTAAAATAATAACTATTTAATCCTTGATAATAATTAAAAAAAGATAAAAATAATATATAGAAAATACATATATTTTTTTTATAAAATCTAAAAAAAATTGTAAAAGAAAAATTTTAACTTAATTTAAATTATTTCAATAATTTTTTGGTTAAGGTGATTAATAAAATTAGCTTGTATCTTGAATATCGTATAACATTTATTTGTTTTTATTATTTAAAAAGTTATTTTGCTTAGTTTTTTTTAAAACCAAAAAATAGTAGTAACTTTATTTTTGGTAAATACTTTAGTTCTATTAGAAAAAATTATGAAGAAAATTAATGTTTACCAGGTTATGAAAAACATTATTTATAAAGTACAAATCGTTTAAACAATTATAATTACTATATTTTAAGTTTATTAAATTTATATATCTCATAAGTTAAAACAGATAAATATTGGTGTAATTTTGTAAATGGATACTTATTTAATATTAAAATTTGATAATATTGAATAAAATAAAATTTGAATAAATTAATACAATATTTTTTTTATTTTATATAAATAATCTACAAAAAAATTTTAAGAACTTTTAAACAAATTAGTTAAAAAGTAAAGTCTATTTTAATTATATGAATATCGAAAAAAAAAAATCAATAAAAAAATTTATATTAAAATAAAAAATATGATATAAAAAATAATAATAAATATAAAAAATACTAATATAAATAAAAAATAAATATAAAAGTGTAGCCTTTTAAATATAAATATTCAATTTATATAGAATTATAATAATTAATATTTATTTATAAAATATTAAATTTTTATATTAATATTTTTAATAAAAAAAAGAATAATTAAATAAAATAAATAAAAAAAAGTAAAATATATGAACATATATCATTTTTTAAAATTAATAATATTCATCATATCAATAAATTCATTATAATCAATTTCACCATCGCCGTTTTTATCTACTTCTTTAATCATATCATCCCAATATTAATCATCATATTTAGATAATTACTAATCATCTAATAATAAAAAAATAATAATATAAATATATATATATATATATATATATATATATATATATATATATATATATTATATTTTTCATACTTCCTAAAACATTTTTTAGTTCATTTTTAGATATTTTACCATTTCCATCCTAGTCTAACATTTTGAAAGCTTAGTGCAATTTATCTTCTTTCATATATAAACTTTTTTCCATTGTAGCAGCTAAAAATTCTGTATAATCTATTTTTCCACTTCCATCTGTATCAATTGATGAAATTACTCTTCTTACTTCTTCTAAATTTTTATCTCCGGCATTTGCTAATCCTTCTCTTATTTCATCTATAGTTAGTACTCCGTCACCATTCTTATCTAATTATCTGAATAATTTTCCTAATTCAGAAATTTCGTTTTCTGATAATTAAGAAGCTATAAATGCTAGTGCTACTTTTTTTAATTTATGGTGTTAAGTGAAGTTTTTAAGAGCATTAAAGTTTAAAGGAAGTTATTTGTTTTTATTTTTTATTTCTTCCTTCATAAATGGGTGGCTTAATACTTAATCTGGTTTAAATCTTTTTTCTGGTTTTGTTATCATATTAGAAATTAGGTCTTTTGCACTATTAGATACTCCTTCGAATTCAGGAACTTTTTTTATACATATATATATATATATATATTTATATTTAAAAAATAAAATACTTTCGAATGTATAAATTCCCTTTTTTACAGCTTGTAATATTTCAGAATCATCATCCCCAAAAAATGGAGGAACTCCAGATAACAAAATATATAAAATAACGCCTGCAGACCATATATCACACGATTAATCATAATTTCCATCTAAAACTTCAGGTGATATATAATAAGGCTTTATTATTTATTTAAATTAAATAATTTAAAAAATATTATTTTTTTACAGTTCCTGCTTTAGTTTACATTGTAACTTTTTAATCAAAATTCTTTGAAAGACCAAAGTCTATTACTTTTATTGGAGAATCGTCATGCTTAGTTAAATACAAAAAGTTTTCGGGTTTAAGATCTCTATGAGCTATTCCTTTTGAATGGCAATAGTTTATTGCTTACATTATTTGTGTAAAAACACTTCTTGCTTCTACTTCTGAAAAACGACCCTTTTCTATAATTCTGTCAAACAATTCACCTCCTTCACATATTCTTTTATTATTTAATTTATTAAAAATTTATTTTTGTATTTTTAATTAAAATAAAAAATATATATAAATGTTTCTATATTTAATAAATTTTTCAAGAAGAAAATAATATTTTATTTTTTTAAATTAGAATTTTACTCCATAATCAAATAAACATTTCTTTCATCTTCATAAGTTTCAAATAATTTAATAATATTTGGATGATCCTATTAAAAATAAATGTATATAATAAAATAAATATTTAAAAATAAATAAATATTAGTTTTTTATTTCGTCATTACATAATTAATATATAATATATTTTTTTATTTTTTAAAATTACTAATGAACGAGTAATATCAATTTCAGCTTTAAATCTTTCAGTGTTCTTAACTTTACTTTTAGGTATTTACTTAACTGCCCTTATTATTTTCGAGTCTTTTTTTTTTGCTTTAAAAACACTTCCATAAGTACCACTTCCTAATACCTAATATTTTTTGTTTAAAGATATAAAAAAAAATTAATATTTTTAAATTTTATAGTTTAAATTATTTTAATTATAAATTATTAAATACTTTCTTCTAATCAATATCATAGTTTTCATATAATTTCCCTTTACTTGATGTGATAAACCATTATCTTTTAAGATATACGTCTTATTTATTATCCATATTTTTATTTATTATATTATATTATATTATTTTTTTTTAATTTTATTTTTATTTTATTTATTTGTTTTCTTTAATTATTTTTTGTTTCATTTAAATTAAATTAATTTTTATATATTTCGATTATTAAATATATGCTTATTTATTTTTTATGATTAAAATTAAAAAAAAAATTGTGATTTTTTATAAAAATTAATTTTATAAATTAAAATTTATTCAGCAGTCTAAAAGTGCTGAATATTTTTTTATTCTTTGAAAAAAAAAAACTTTAAATGAATATATATAAGTGTTTATTCTAAAGAAATAGACTATAATAATTTTGAATAAAAATTAAAATTAAATTTTATTATTTGTTTAATTAAAATTAATTAGTAGCAATTAGAAAAATTTTAAGTATTTATATTAATATTAGATATAAATTTATTTTCATTTATTTATTTATATTTTTTTTAAAAAAAATATTATAATTTTTTTTATTTTATATAATGATTTTTTATATCAGTATTTTAATATTTAAATTAATTCAAGAATACAAATTTATATCATATACATTTATTTTTAGAGTATTATTTAATATTTAATATTTCGCTTTTTAATATTCATATATTAAAAAATACTTTATTTAAATATTATTAATATTCCATAAAATTTATTCATTATTATAAGATTTATATTGTTTAAGAATTTAAATTTTTAATAAATAGTTTTTATAAAAAATAATTAAAAAATTAATAAGATTATATCATCTATCCTCTATATAAATAAATAAAATTAATTATTATTAAAAATTATATAAATAAAATTATTAAAAAAATGATAAAGAAAATATTAAATTTATTTTTTTTATATATATAAAATAAATTAATGTATATAAATTAATAAAAATATATATAATTTATATATTTATATTTATTTATATATATTTATTTATATTTATTTATATTTAAATAAAAATAAATTTTTTATATTTATTTTATTTTTTAAATATATATTTTATCATTTTAATTTTTTACAATTTAATAATTCATATATATTAGTAATTTAAAATTCTTTTAATTTTTATTTTTATTTTTTGATATGTTATATTTTTATTCTCATATTTATTATATTTTTTATATGTTTATTAAATTAAAATTCTTAAATTTTATTTTTTAATAATTCATTTTCTTAATGTCTTATAATATTTATCATTTAATTTTATAGCTCTTAAAACTTTTAAGTTTGAAGTTACAAAATTAGTATTACTTTGTAATTTTTTCTAATTATTTAAATATTTTTACGATATCCATGTTAATTTATAACTTCCCTAATTAATATAAGTTTACTATTTATAATTTAGTAATTAAATTACTCCAAGAACTTTAAAGTCATATCATTTTTATTATCTTTTTTATTTTTATTTCTATCTTATATTTTTATTATAGAGATAATTAAAAATATCATATAAATATATAAAAAAATACTAAAACAATGTTTTTTTAATCTTATTTAAGTATTAAATCTAAAAAAACAATATTCGAGATTAAATATTTATCATATGAAATTTTATGTTAAATAATTATATTAAGTATGAGACCTAAAGTTAATAAATACTTTAAAAATCGAGCGTTTTATAGACTAACCCTGCTTGAATTAGTTTTAGATCTTATTATTGATTTTTTATATAGACTGTTATTAAATTCTATATATAGATTTCATTACTTTTAGAGTCTTTGCGAATTTATAATCTTTATCCGTCTGGTTTAAAAGATCTAATATTTCTTCTATATATATTTAGATAAAACCTATACTTTTTTAACTTTTTATTTTATTTTTTTAAAATAAAATTTCTTTTTTTTACTAATCTTATTTTTGGTTGTTAATATAATTAAATAGATATTTGACTGAAGTTTATAATATACCAGGTTTTTCTTTTTAACAATTTTTATAAAACCTATTGCGTGTGTTTTTTTCCTATATCAGTTAATCCATATACTAAAAATAAAGCGTTATATCCTTATATGGGCATGATCAATTATTGGTTGTCACATATTTCTGAATATTTATTATTGGTTATCTGTGATTTTAAATATTTTAGGAAATTTTAAATTAATAGAAAATTTGGTTATTGTTTATTAATATTTATCTTTTGTCAATTATTTTTACGCAAATTTTTGATGTGAATTTTTATGGTCGAATTCTTACTATTACTTAGATTGGATTTTTGTTAATTATTATCATTATTATTTTTTGGTTTAATCATTTTTTTTTTTTTTTGAGAATACTTTTTTTTAAAATATTATATTTAAAATTTAATATATAAAAATATTTTTAAATAATTTAATAAATAATATATAATATTTCGTTTAATTTAATAAAAACAAAAATTATTTTTGTTTAATTAATATTATTTATTAATGTTAAATTTAATACAAACTAAAAAATTATTTTTTTATATAATTTAAAATATTGTGTAAATTTATTTTTTTTTGGATTAAATTTATTTTTATTATAATTATATAAATATTAATTAATGCTATAGATTAAACTTTTATTCAGTATAAATAATTTAACAATACTTCACATTTATCACTAATAATTTTATTTTAACTTAAAGAAAGTTTCATTAAAATTTCCCTAAAATTAATTTAAGATAAATAAAGTAATATTTTATTTTATTATTAGTATTATTATTCTTTTTTTAATAAACAAATAACACTAGATAAATTACTTGAAGTAAGTTTATTAATATTTAAGCATAATGAATCTACTAATAGCTTTATTATATCATACTATAATAATTAATATATTTATCTCATATTTGCATTTACAACTAGATTACCTAAAGCATAAAAAAGTTCAACTTTTATCTTTTTTTAAAAAAATAAAATAAATAATTATAAGAATTAATAAAGTAAAAATATATTTTTATTACTTTAAAACTTCCATAATTAATATTTGTAAAAATAACTTGAGTATAAATTTAATTTGATAATATAATATCTATTGTTTTTTCACTCATACAAAATATATTATTTATAGCTATACAAGCCTCTTCTTTTATTTATTAATTAATTTTATCAAAAGCTTAAATTAAATAACCAACACATCCTTAATTAATTAATATCTAAAAAAAAAAAATTATTATTAAATATTAAAATATATTTTATTATTTAATAAAATACTTAAATTTGATTTTCGTTTCCTAATGTAATATTTGATATTGTTTAATATACTTTTTAAGATTATTAAGTGGTTCCTTTATGTGCAAATTTATAGAATTTTTTAATATTTTTCATATTTAAGATTTTTTAGATATTTTCTTAGTGATAGCTTAGTTAATGTATTGAGTCAATTAAATAATCAATATAATTTTTATTTTAATAATGAATTAGTATTTAATTATCTAATATATTAATTAAAAAATCACATTGTTAATTGTTTTAGTATGTCAAGTTTTTTATAAACCAAATAACACAATTTTATATATTTATGTTTTTTTTAAACTTCTAATATTAAACTATAAAATTGTTTTAAAATTATTCAAAATTTAAAATAAAATCTTTAATTTAAGCGAAATCAATAATTATATTTGTTAATGAATTTATACCCTTTTTTTAATTTAAATATATGAATAATTATTTATTTTTTGGATTACACATTAAAAACATTATTCATTATCTTTGAATGTAAGTAAAATATAAGTTTCTATTAATAAGTTATTTTATTCCAATATTTATAAATAATATGTTTTGTCACAATATGTTAAGTTTTATAAAATTTTAGCGCTTTCAATTTATTATTATAGGTTTTATTTTTCTTGTATTTACTATAAATCTTAAACTAAAATCTTTATTAATTCTAGATCAAACAATTAAGATGTTAATAACGGAAACACTTCTAATTTTTCTGAATATTTTTCGATGGTTTTTGTATTTTTTAATATTTCGGTTTATTAGTCTTATATATAGTAGTTTTATTTTAAATATTATATGCTTTCATTTAATTACTATATTTAAATTATTTTATATATAAATTTTTTATATTTATTTATTACTTTAATATGGTAGTTTTCATCCATTTAATTTATAAATTCGAATTAATTATTTAATTCTTCTTTTTAAAAATCACATTGATTTTGTTATATAGGAAATCTTATTTTTGCAAATTGTTATATAGATTTTTTTTAACGAATTTATTATCTGAATTATTCTTTTTTTTAGATAAAACATGTTATAAAGAATTTATTTCCATTTCTTATTTTTTTTTATTGTTTATTGTTTATTTGAATTTTAAAGAAAAAAATAATTTTTATAAGTATTGTTTGTATAAGCACTATATATAATTCTAATTTAAATTGGCGGATAAAATAATATATAAATTAGCATAGAAAAATTAATAAAATACAAAAAAATAAATAAATATTAAAAAATATAAATTAAATTTGTTTATTATTAAAAAAAAACAAAAAAAAAAAAGATTTTTTTTTTATAAAAAAATTTTTAAAAAATTATATAATTTTCTTATATTAAAAAAAATGTTAAAAAAAACATCATTTATATTTAAAAAATAAACAAACTTAAAATTTTTACAAGTCAATAACACATATTTTAGTTAATCTTTTATAAATCAATTAAACCAAAAAGGAGATGAAGAGAAACAAATATAAAAAAAAGATTTTTCTAATTTTACAATATATAAAAATGAAATAGGGGTAAAAGACTTATAATTTAGAATTCAAATGAGGTTAGCTTATTCATCTATATGGTTAGGCTTATCATATTTAACTTATGCATTTGTACACTAATATGCAGTAGTAATACCTCTATTTATGTCTATGAATTAACTTATAGGCTTTAGAATAGGTAAATTGTATACGAGATAATTAATTGATGAGATAGTATTGAATAAAGATATAAAAAAAATAAAAATAATTACTTTGAGTGGTTAAATTATAAATACATAAATAAAAAATATCAAGTTTTTAGAAGCATCTTAATTAAAATAAGAAAATAAAAAAAATGTATAAATTATTGTTATTTATGTTTTAGGAGAAGAAGGATAAGAATATAAAAATATGAGAATTGTTATTGAT